TCACTTTGAGTTTGTGGTTCTGTGGCTTGCAGCAGTATGTACAGGGTGTGTTGGCAGATGACTTAAATACTTCTGAAAGGCTGTTTTTCTAGGTCATTCCTATATGAAGCTGATAAAACTGGCTCTGTTTCTGACCTGTGTGTCACTACTGTACTCACAGCTCTTCACTTCAAGGTGCCTTTTCACTGAAATCCTGTCTTCTGAAAGCAGTTTTTAGAATCTATTTCAGGAGCTTTCTGCACTCCAGGGCTTCTGTTTCTGTAGCTCTACTCTGTTGCATTTCTTGAAAAGCCCAGGTTACTATCGCACGTCCGAGTCCTTTGAAGCACAGCGATTCTCCTGTCAGCGCAGCAAGATGGTGGAGGGCTCATCTCTGGCTGCTGCAAGAGCTCAGCATGCATTTACTCCCTCAGAGAGCCCAGGACCTGTCCTGCTTGTTCTGGAGCTGCACGGGTGCCATGCATCCAGGAGGAACCCGTGTGGCTGGCTGCGCCTCTGCTGCTGTCAGTGCTGCTCCTTGGAGCTGGTCAGTGGCTCCAGAGGCTTGACGGACACTGGACAGAGGTTGCCCTTGGCTCGTAGTTGACGGGAAAGATGAGAGTGAATGCTCCAGCAGTGGGAGAGCATGTGGATGTGCTTGGACAGAGGTGGTTCTCCTCAGAAGCTTTCATAGTGGTGTCTGGACAATGATTTTTTTTGAAATGCTGGAAGGAATGAGGGCATCTTAAGAATTAGAGGGAGGTGCAGGATTTAGTGCAGAGACGTAAGCCAGCAAGGAAGAGGGCAGCACTGGGGAGCAGAGAAAATCAAATGCATGGGAGATAAGAAAGTTCCGTGGCTGACTGGACTTGCAGCAGAACTTGTATGACAACAAATATCCATCTCCCAAGTGAGTGGTGTGGTCAATGCGATGAGCTTGGAAGGTGATTTTGGTGAGTTTCTCAGTGGGGTTTGGATGAGTATGTGCCAGGCACCAGAAAGTTTCAAGATAGGAATAGGAAAAGATGTCAAATGGATGCTGCAGGTGCCTCATTGTAGCCTTAATTTACTTCTTACATCTCTGTTGTCTTTGTTGGTTTTTTTCGTACCAAATTCACCTTAGCTTCAGTGTATGATACAGTACATGTGCCAGGTCTTACTGGTTACCATTAACTTCTGTAAATTCTACATCAGCCACATTACCTTGGTAAAACTGTGCTGCTGTGATATTTCAGCTGAAGCTTTGTCCAGATACCTGGTACCCTGCCCACATATTCCAGTCAAATAAATTAGGGTAATTAATTCCGGAAAAAGACCTAGCATATAGCTTATAGCCTCTTTGCAGGGAGGTTATTGGGCAGTAAGGCTCCCTGGAGGGTCTCTTGGAGCCTGATTTTTGGCTCTGTGTGGATGCAACAGGACTGGCAATGATGGATAGAGCTGAAACCACAGGAGACACTGGTCGCAGAGACTCGAGTGTGAGGACAAGAGGCAGCTCCTAATGACATCCACATCTGTGGGCAAAAGCTGTGATTTTGAGCAGTGTTGGAAAGAGGTGACTTCAAGTGCTGTGACCACATGGACTCTCAAAGACGAGAAAGGAAAGAGGTCAGGTGAAATCAGGGTGAGTGTAAGGGATGAAAGTGTGTTTTATGGTGTGAGGGGCATGGGGAAGGGGCGTATGAAGGAGAGTAGGGCATCAGCTGGGATTTGCCTTTGAGGTCCAGTGGGGAGAGCGGAGGGAATTTGAGCATTTGTGCTCACTGTGTGCTGCCAGAGCAGGGCTGTGCAGTGCTGCGGCCAGTGGCCCATGGCCATCCTCCTGCAATGGTGATGGTGCAGTGGAGAGCAGCAAGCTCTTCACATGGGGAAGTGCCAGTTGAGCAGCAAACATCTACTGGGCTTTTTTTGGCTCTTCTGGACAGGAATTTGAAAGCTTAATGCAGCCTATTGTGCAGGACGAGACTTGTAGGCAAGCTCTCCATGGCAACTCTCCCTATACACAAAGCACCATATGGCTTTTTCCAAGGGGGAGGGAATGAATCAAGCAGAGAAGTCAACCTTTGTCTGTGCTGGTGTTTGTCTTTGCTCTCTGGTGTGGAGCATGGGGAGGTGGAAACACGGGATGCTGTATCCTGGGCATGGCTTCTGCTGGCTGCGCCACCAGCAAGGTTGCAGGTGGTCTCTCAAATGATCATTCCTTGCTTTTTGCAGCAGAGCTTGCTGTGAAAATAAACCCTGCCTGCACAGAGACCCCCTTTTTGGGCTGCATGCTCTGCAGACAGATGGAGTAACCAGTCTCGCGTTTGCCCCTACATCGAGAAACGCCCGAAGGGCTGGGAAGGCTCAGGAGCAGTCAATTTGGGCAAGAGCTGTACAGGAGGCAGCTGATGTTGAGGGGCTGTTGCGTGTTGTCTGCCCATGCTTTATACCCCAGCTTCCGAAGGGAACTGGAAGCCTTTGCTCGTCTGTAAATCCTCCCTTTTCAAGTCCTTTTGGAAGAAATGAGTGGCATAAATAGCTTTATCTGTGTCTGTAGAAAAGCTGGTGTGTCTGCTTGGAGGGGGAGTAAAAGAAATTATGCGGGAAGAAGCAGAAGGGAGCAGCTTTGCTCAGGATGCTTTGCGGTTCCCAGGGCTGCTGTGGGGTGCAACCAGCAGCACTGGAGATGGCCTTGCATGGTGGGCACCGGTAAGGCTGGCTGGGGTGCCCGGCTGTGCCCGGCAGAGGTGCGAGATCAGGCAGCTGGAAACACTGGCAGCTGCCCAGCACCCAGCTGTTTGGCTGCAGTCTTGCTGCCGTTGGCTTGAGGATGCAGATGTGCTGCAGGTGAAGCAATTGTGCTGTGCCAGGGCATGCTTGGAGGCTGTGGCGAGCAGACCTGTCACCGGGACGCACGCTGGGTGGGATGTGCTGCAGGGCAGAGCCCTGGCTAGATCCAGGACCAGGGCAACTGTGCCTACAGCCCATGTCCCAGGGAGCTGATCTGGCTCTTTGGGTGCTCCTGTGCAGATCACAGCCACAGGAGATGTGGCTGGCTGTCCCCTCTGTTTCGATGAGGTGACGTGGGTTTGCCTTTCAGGAGCACCTCTTGGTTTTACCAGATGTGGGCAGAGGCTCCTCTTGGTAAGAGCCACTCTGAGGTGCTCCCATGGCTTTGCAGCAAGCAGGTCACTGTCCCATCCCCTTGGTCCTCCCTGCTGTCAGCAAGGAAACTGTCAAATCCCAGAAAAGCATCAGGGATAACTAATGGGAAAACTCCTCCCAGTTGTAGGCTCAGACCCATGGGTGGAGCTATGCAGGTGGGGACAGGGTAGTATTTGAGGAGAGGGAGGACACCACCTTGAGTAATCCATTAGTTGGAGCAGGAGATGGCCTAAGGCTGCCTTGCCTCGAGCACCATGCTTGGGCAGCAGTGTTTTCATGTGCCCATAGCAGTACCAGTGCTGCGAGTGGAGAGAGCTATGGGGATATTGGAGTCGTAAATTGTGAACAAGAGCACTTTTCATCTGCTGGAGCCATGACCCTGCCATGTGTGCTTACTGCAGAGCACAGCATCCTATGGTGGTTTCTGGAAAAGCAGTTTGGCTCATTGCTGCTTTTGATTTGCATTCTGACCCCTGGGAGCCCCAGCCCCACGTTAGGGGAGGGCTGGTGTCTCGGAGCCATGTGCTCAGCTTCTGCCACCCCCATGGGCTGCGGTACCCATCAGTTCAGTGGCTGCAGGATCTCCTGGGGCCCTCTGCATTTAGTGTAAAAGGGATGCTGGGGAGGGTGTTTGGGTGGGAGGGATGTTGCTGCAAGCCTGACTCCTCATTCTGTCCTGCACCTTCATCCCTTGACACCATACTAGATGTACGGATCTCTTGATGAAAAATGGCCTTTCTCACTATCTAGAGATGGACCCAAAGCAAGAGCTCTGGCTGTGACTGTGCAGGGAACAGACCCTTTGAGGGTGGCTGTGCCGCTTGGCTGCAGCACACGTCATGCAACGTACGTGCCCCTTGGGCTTGGACTGGAGCCTGGGAGCTGTTTGAATTGGCTGCGCTGCCAGCCTGAAGAACGCAGAAAGCAGACCCTGCTTTGTAGCTCCGCTCTCATCATCTGCCTCGAGCAGCCGAAAAAGGAAAGCCTGTCTCCCCTGAAATCCAGGCGATTGCGGAGCTTTCCTAGGAGCCCTGACATAATGACTCCCTCTGCCCGGCCAAGTTTATCGACATCAGACAAACCTAGTGCCACAACGTTTGCAGCTCCAAGGCATGTGGTTTTGAGCCTGCTGTTTATTTTGGGACTGCAGCATCTGATCCTGATTTGGTGCTTTCAGCCTGTGATCTAGGTCGTGTGCTGGATCAGGCATTAGCTGTTGCTTGAGGGAGCATGGGGAATTCACGCTCCATTCCTCAGTCAAAAGGCTCAGGGAAATGCTGCTCTGCTCTGCTGCAGATGGGTGTTTGGAGTGGGAGGGGTATTTTTTTAAATTTATTTTTAGGAAATCTCATTGAAAACCTCTTATTTTCCCATCCCCCTGTGAGGATGGCTCCTGATGTGGCTGGCCACGGGAGGAGCAGTAGATGATAAAAGCTTCGGTGCAGCCTGCTTTCTCTGCGGTTCCCATGGTAGTTGGCTGTCACACATAGATCTAATGTATTCCCTGCCCACAGCAGGATTAAAGCCTTCTGGGAGAAGAATAAGAGGACGCAGGAAACAGAGACAGGGAAGAAACCAGGCAAAGGAATGGAGAGCATGGTGGGGTAGGGAGGGATCCAGGAGGGCTCCCACCAGAGCAGCAAGGGGCTTCATGGGACCTCTGCCAGGGAGCAGCCATCCCAGTTGCCTTCCACCCAAGGTGGTGGTGGTGGGATGCCTGAAAACAGAGGTCCTTTCTGAAAGCTGAAGGCGCCGGTGCGTGCAAGAGGAAGTTCTTGTCCTTCTGCTGTTGCATCTCCTAAAGCTGGCCTGCGTTTGAGGGTGCATGTTTCCTTTTGGTGATTCTCTTTCTTTTTGTATTTTTTTTTCTGCAGATCCTGACAGCCAGTTGTATGATATGGGATACACCCCTGAGGAGGACGCCCCAGCCTGTCCTGATGAGTTTGATGACTTTGTCACGTTTGAGGCAAGTACGAGTGCTGTTAACTCCCGCAAATGTCGGTGGTATCCAGTGCAAGACTTAAGCATGGAGGGTTTGGCTGGGGGAGGAGAACATTTGCTGTGACAGGGCTCAGGGATGCTTAATACATAGTAAAGAGGAATCCTTTAACCTGGGATGACTGGCCCAGGGAATTAGCACCAAGTATTTGGTGCTGTTTAAGTTAAAATAAGTGTTCAAGCAAAAACCCACAGCTAGTGCTGTCTTAGTATGCAAAATGCAAAAGCGTGGTGCCCTGGGTGAAAGAGGGAGATCTTTTTTGTGGCGAAACACCAGCACTGTGGGAAGGATGCCTGCAGCTGTCATGTTTGTCTCATTGCTGGAGTTTCTGAGTTTGGAGAACCTGAGCCTGATTTTTGAGATGTACCAACCGGGAACCTACCCGAGAGGCACAGCGGAACAGTCAGGTGTTGGCACTCGGTGCTGTTTGGCCAGCTGAAGGCAGAGCAGAAGACAAAAGTGTAGGTTATTTTTGATTCCACTCTGTTCTTGGGCTTGATCAAGGATGCTTCTCTGACATGGTTTTTTCCTGTTAAAGTTATGGCCTCCATCCCTCCCTTCCCTTCTGTATTCCTTAGCACAGGAGCATGTTGCAGTAACAGCCTGTATCTGTATCCTCAGCTAGAAAGGAAGCTGCTGCTGCAGTGACCTCTTTGTGTTTGTGGGCTTTTGGGCTCTGCTTGGTTGGCTTCCTCCATGCCTGCTCTGGGCCTTCTGGCCTGGAGCAGGAGGTGCTGCTGATGCCTCCAGAGCAAAGGCTGGCTCCCCAGTCCCACATGGGGACTGAGTAGCTTCCTTCTGGTTTTCCTTTCCCAAACTTCCCTCTTCAGGTGTTTGGACTCTTGTGTCTTGGTAGCCTGGATGTTTTTATGCTGCAACTTGGTACTTGCAAAGGGATTCCCAGCCTCCTTTGTGTTTACGTGCAAATATATATGTCTTTGCTTTGTGTGCTCTGTAATATGTTACTGTGGCCCTGTGACTTACTGATAAAAGGCTCAAGCTATTCATTTGAGTTTCCTAATGATAAACCAAGTGTTGGGCAACTGGTCTTCTCTGTGTTAGTGAGAAGCACAGGTCCATCACTTAAGATGGCTTGAAGCTTGCACTTTGATGGCTTACACTTGATGGTTGCCCAGGTCATCATCCCAGTTCCCAGCCAGGCATGAGTTCTCTCCTGAGCTGGTTTGCTGGTTCCAGTTCTTGATCAAGTCACCCTGAGCAGGTCACTCATTCCCTTAGGGCTGCTGGGGTGAACACAGCCTGCAGAGCGTGAGATCCTGGGGTCCTCCCCCAGAGGGCTTTCAAGGGCATGTTGAATATGAGATTATTTTTCCTTGTTGTAAGATAATTCCAGAACCCAGTAATAGCTGGGTAGAAGGGGGACAGGAGGGCAGGGAGGGAGATGGGTTTTCATATTCTTTCTCTATCTGGCACAAGGTCACAAATGTGCTTTTTAACCGCTGGACTGAGCAGTTTAGAAGCTGTGACAGTCTGTGTCGTAGTGCTTGTGCAGGCAAGGGCTTTCACTTTTTGCTCCTCACACCTGCGTCAAGGGACAGTCTTCTCTGAGATTCAGAGCAGGGATGTTTTCTGAGGGCTAATTTAACATAGATGAGCTCTGTCAGTGCTGCAAGCTATTCTGGGCAGGAATACCAACAAGCCGGGTGTGCGCCCCGCTGGGATGAAATACTTCTGCTGCTGGGCCATCGTTTCCTTGAAACGACAAGGTGACCCAAAGGAAAAAGGTGATGAATCCTGAAATCTCCTTTTCAGAAAGATGTAAATGGATTCTTATACTGAATTCAGGGTAATTGTCTAAAGATCGGAGCCTCTGTTGGTGTCTACGTTTAATATGCCGGGAAAGAATTACCCTTGTTGTCTTGGATTCACGATTCAAAATAATTTCCAGCCTGCAAGGATTCTGTAGAGGTTCAGCAAATGCAAACAAGATCGAGAAATACTGCTCAGCATTGTGAGTGTAAAAATAAATTGGTGTCTTGGGGCGCGTGGTTTTCTGTTCTCATTTAGCTGAGCAGCGAGCTCCCAACGTGTGTTTTATCCCGTATGTCCTGTAGTGCTGTACCTCGGAAAGCTTGGGCTGTTTCAGGGAGGGGAGAAGAGAGAAGCTGTTGTACAAAGCAACCTGCTGGGAGCAGCAGATGAGTGTTTTTCACCAGAGCACAGTGCTGCCCTGCCTGGCAGAGCTGTCTGGCAGGGGGGATCGGCCTGGTCCTTCTTCATTAGGTGCAGCTGCTCTGGAAATCATAAAACAGAAAATTGAATAAATGGCCTTTTCTCAATATATAGTCTACCTTACTTGGATTCACCTGGAAGAGAGGAGGGGTAAAAGCACCCTTCCAAAAGTGAAGGCATTGCCTTTCCTCCAAGCAGACCTCCCGCACCACCAAAAAGCAGTTTGTGTTCTCAGATGTCCCCGTTTCAGACCTGGGAAAGATGGTGCACAGTAAGCACGCTGCTCTCAAGCTCGCCACTACACAGGACCACCAGGCAGCTAAACGGCTTCTTTACCGCAACAGCTTCTTCCTCAGCCCCCAAAACGCGGCCAGCGGACTTCAGACACCGGGTGAGCCCCTCTGGTTTTGGCAGGGCCATAGGGCGAGAGAGCACAGCGCGCTTTTCTCGTGTCCCCATCAGCGGGCATTTGAAAGGTGAGCTGAAGGAGCGGTGCTGTTTTTGCTATGAGAGCAATCGTGGTTGGTGGATTTGGAGTATAGGCTGTGGTCTCCCTTAAACAGCACAAAATCACAGTGGCTTGAGTGCTCGGCTCTTACAAGTGTTGGAGCCTTGACAGAGATTTTCTTCTAAATGTTTGTTCAAACAAGTGTAAACAAGTGCTTTAAGCAGTCTAAATGAAAATGTCTTCTCTTTGTTAATAAGGTTGCTCTTCATGGTGACTCATCGCCTCTCTGGTGGCTGTCATCAGAGAGAGCTGAAGATCTGAGGAAACCCCGAGTACCCAGTATTGGTGTCTTTCTGTGAGTGTTTGCTCTACAGAGAGAAGAGCAATACTTGCATCTTTCAGTAAGGGTGTAAAAGCCTCTCGAAGGAGGCAAGGTCTGGACTTTGACACTTCACGCAAGGGCCTTTGTAACAGCAGATATTTCCACAATTCAGTCACTGGTGTCACATCTGATGTGATGCGGAGCTTCTGGCTCTCACTGTGCCTTGCCAGATCCATCCAGCAGACAGGTCTGGCTGTTTAACCATTCCCAGAGAGGGTTTCTGGTTGTGTTTCTGAGACAGCAGCTCACAGGGAATTGGAATTGCAGGAGCCTGGGTTCCTGCCGCTACGTGGCTGCTGATGCGTCCGACTGTGTGTGCAGGGGGCTCATCGCAATTCCGAGCGCTCTGCTGTCACGTGTGCTAGAGGAGTTGCACCTCCTCTCCGCCTGCTCCGGAGCGGGGAGAGCCTCACCTCGCCGGGGTTCCCTGTCTGCCTGCACCCAGGCAGGGTGCTTCCCCCGGCCCAGGTGGAAGTGCGGTGGTGGAAGGGCAGCTGGGTGACAAGGGTGACAAGCTCACTGCTTTCTACTTCTGCAGGGAAACGTCACCAAAAAATAATGACAGCGGTTTTGGCTACCCTGCTTTGTAAAAGCTGTCTAAAGGGAGCTTGGAGTCTGTCTGTCCAGACACCTGAGTCCTCACCTGTTTTCCCCCAGGCTGGGCTAGTGCAGCTCCGCTGCTGACTAACGGGAAGGTAGGAGTTATCCTCACCTCCCTTGCAAGCTCCCGTGAAGCTCATGACTCAGTTCTGAGGTACATGGGCTCATCTGCAAAAAAAAAAATAAGGTGAATTTGGAGTTACCTTTCTTGATGCCCGCTATGCCTTGCCCTAGGACACGGGCTCTCTGCCCCCTCTGCCCTGTCTTCTGGAGGGGGGATGAGCCCACTTGAGCAATGCAGAGTGGAAAGGCCAACTCTCCCAAAATGAAGCAAGTCACAAAAATTTTGTGTGCTGCTGGAGTTATGCTGGGATTGGGTATGGAGATCATAGTGTAGTCTTAGGTGGGCTGGAGGAGAGGCAGAGCTGGTACAAAACTGTGCTCCGTAAAGGCTGGCCGGGTGCATGACAAGTAGCACAAATGCCTACTTTAGCCATGGGAACCTGGGCCAGCAGGGTCCTAGAAAGGCCTTTTTGAGATCTGCAAAGCAGGGCAGTCCAAACTCCTGTGGGTGAGAGGCGCAGGGACGGCGAGGCAGGCGTGGGGTGTGCTGCTGTGTGCCTAGCACAGGGCTGTTGCCATCTGCTGGGCAGCCACTGTGGCTCCTCTCGGCAGCAGCCAGGGAAATGCGTCTCACTGAGCTGTGCACGGCCGAAGAGGAGGATTTTGCTTGCTCAGAACAGCAGCGCTAACCAGGCAGGCAGGTGAGCCTCCTGCAAGCCTTACTGCCCCCAGGCATGTCCCCTCTGGCTAAATGTTTAGTACCGAGTTGCACAGCACAGTAAGAGTGGATCTGGGAGGGTAAAATGATCCATGGTGAGCTCCCACATCTAGTTTTGAGTGTTTTGAGAGGAGGGGGTACTCCTGGCTCTCTCCAGCGTGCCTGTCCGCAGGCACAGCTGGCAGCTGCTGAAAGAAGTTGGTATTTCTTTTCATGTGGACCAATTGAATTTAATGCGGTCTTGAAGGGCAAAAACGGGAGCGAGGCAATTTAAATCCGTGTTGCTGGATTTCTCCAGCTGCTCAGAGTTTCTGCAAAAGGGACCAGAGACTTGTGGGATCGCAGCTGTGTGCTGGTAACACAGGAGCTGCTGTTGTGTGTGCTGTGCCACGGCTTGGGGGTGCAGGAGCTGTTCACCAGAGACATCAGCTACTGTTCCTCATGGCTTGTGTCTTGCAAGGAGCCCACATGGGGTGGTTGTACGAGTCTGATGTAGGTTCGCTGTCTCTTCTCCTGGTAGCCCAGTGGACCTTCTGTGCCTTCCTTTCTTATTACAGACTCAC